AGACCATGACAATTCTTTAGTTCAATGACTGGGACAATCAATATAGATCACGAACGTCAGTTTCAAAGGCTTCAAGGTCTTTTTTACAAATCTTCAAATTGGGGCAAAGTCAAGCAATACTACATTGGGGCAAAGTTGTAATTGCATTTTACAAAACTTCGAAACAAAGATCGTCTTTAGATTGAGAAGATCTCACTTCTCTCACAGGAAATCTTTCGATCCTTCACTTCACAATGTGGGCTGTCACACAACATTTCCATAGAAAACTAGACTTTAAAATCGAAAGATGGAAAGAGAGGTCATTTACATTCAAAAATTGAACTTCTCATGAAGAACTACAATTGGAAGCCAAGATTGAAAGGGAGCCTTACATTCAAAAAGTGGGTTGCATGGCCATAAAGTGAAGCTAAATGCGAGAAAGAAGACTTTTATCAAAGATCTTACATTAAAAAATTGAACTGTAACAATATTCCCATGAAGAACTACAATTGGAAGCCAAAATTAAAAAGGGAGCATTACATTCAAAAAGTGGGTTGCTGCAACATGACCAAGTGAAAGGCGAGAAAGGAGATTTTTATCAAAGATCTTGAGCTAAACTCAAAAAGAGGCGAGATACACGAGATGAACTCTTAGGGAGTTACACAACAAATTCTCAAGGTTACTTATCCAAAGAAATGTTGATGAGACTTTTGTTTAGGAAGAGATTTTTATTGATTTGATGTTACTTATCTTTATAGGAGATTTTGTAGATTTTGTTTAGTTAGTGTTTTTGCCAAAAATAATGCCAAAGGGGGAGATTGAAAAAGTATTTTTTTTGGCATTATTTTTGAACCTCAAGCATTAATTATTCATTTTGGTAATTTTGTCTAACGGATTTATTTGAAATTTGTGATATATTTGATTGAGAAATTTGAGGGATTGATTGCTTTCTTTATCTCATTGCCTTTGATTTGGCTAGACTTAATTTTGACTGATTAATAGAATCTTTACCATATTTCGATGATTGGTTTTTCTCTTTAAATATTGAAACATTGTTAAGACAGTTTGATCGATCCAGCAATATTTTTCTCACGTATTGATTGATCCATTTTTGTCTTACTTACTGTTTGATCCTTTTTGATGAAAACGAAAATGGATTATTTGTTCTCTTTTGGTTATATATATTGAGAACGTTTTCGATTAAAGACGGTGAGTTTCATAAACGATTGTTGAATACACTGAATCTGACACAAGGGGAGCTTGTGAACGTAGATCGTCAAAGGGATTAGAGCAAGGGATTGCAGCATAAAATTAAATAAGGAAGTTCTTTTAAATTCATGCATAAGACAATATGTATTGTGTACTAATCTTTTGATAATCTATTTTAGATCTCTGGGTGTGGTTTAGTGGAGTAGGTTGTGAAACTGAACCACGTTAAACATGCCGTGTGTTCATCTACTTTTTTAGCTATGAATATTTTTAGCATTTTAACAAATCATATTAGTTTTTATTTATACAATAGAAAAGTAAATTTTACATTCATCGTTATCATCCCATTAAGTCATTAAATAACTTGGATAATTAGGTCGTTTCAATAATTCAATAAAATGAAAGAGATATCAATTTGATAGTGTACTTTATAAACCACATCTCATGACATTCAAGTGGGAATTATTTAGCAATTTTCGGTCATTTATGGTTTATTTACTTGCATAACTGATGTTTTTACAGGATCGAGCCATTAGAAAGAGTTGAAGCATTAATGATCAATTGAGAAGAAAACTAGAGCAAAAAGGAGAGCTTAATTCAGCCACATCAATCCCGCAGCGCCATCATACAGTGCCATGATGGCTGCAGGTCAGAATTGGAAGCAAAATTCTAAAGAAGCAACACCACGGCGCCATCCAGCAGCACCATGGCGCCTACAGACTAAGCTGAGGTCTTTTTCCATAGTGACAGCGGTGCTGTCTTGTAGCGCCATGGTGTTACGAACTTTGTGTGTCCGTCACAATTCTAAGACATCGCCATGGCGCTATAGCAATGCCCTTTCATAAATAAAAGATTAGTGCGTCGTTTTTTGAGGACTTTTGACATTCCTACATTGGACAATTGGAGTTTTGAGAGGATTGGCTCGAGAGTTGAAGCAAGGAGGGCGAGGAGACTATTTTCAAAGGCTCGTGATGATGGAGATTGAGTTAGGGACGGTCAATTGACACAACAACTTTAGTTTCTCTCATTTCCCCCATTTTTTTGGGAGAGACAGTTATGATTCATGATTTCTTGACTTATAAATTAATTGTATATTCAATCTTGGCATGTTTAATTTGTCTGCTTGTAGGTTTAGTTGGTGAAATCACTTCCCTAGAGCCCGTTCTCTATAAAAGTTTTCCTTAGAGTCTTTCAATCGTTTTGTTATTTGACTTTTGTGTCTAAAAAAAAATCTCTTGTTGTTTCTCTAGATAAAATTAGACATTAATATATGTAGTACTTGAGTGACTAGAAACCAAATCCGGTGGACTATATTGGTAATTACTTACCATTTTTATTAAAACTTGACATGTACACTTGTGCTAAGCATTTTCGGCTAGACAATTAGTCCATCTTTTCTGAAAAAATCTATAGTCAAAATCGTTCCCGACTATGCACCACTTCGATATTCGAGTTTCTTCGTATTCTCTAACATAACCTGCACCACACAGTAACAATATGATAACAAAACACTAGTTGGCAGCTTCTAAGTTACACCATTAGAAAGGTTATTTACCTAAAAATTCAATATAGGGGACCTTTCATATCAACTGAACAATTAATAGTAAAAGTTATATACCTAAAATTCAATATATATGTATTTAGCAAAATGATATAGGTGTATAAAGCTTTAAAATTTTAATTTAGAAACTATGAGGACTAAAATTGATACGCGGCAACCCAAACATATTGACTACTCGAGCCACAAGCCACTTGAACTTAATCGTATAGATGGTTTCAACCCTAAGGGTTAGATGGATTAACTTTGAAGTCGTTACCTTGAGCAGATAGAATACTCACTATGCTTGAGGTCGAAAACACCCCACGAGTTTGATGACCAATAAAAAAAGCATGCTCCGAGGGTAAAACACGAAAATCTAAGTTCTACCGCACAAAGAGATTCTGTATTTGAGGGAAAAAAACACTCACAATTTTATTGATAAGGGATGCAAGACCTTTACAAGGAAACAAATAATTGAAAGATGTTTAACTTAAATTGCCAACTTCCTAATCAAGTAAGGCAATTCTTTCTTTAAACTAATTTGATTAAAAATAAAATAATCCAATAAAATAAAAAGAAGGAAATCTTTTCCTTAAAAGAGATAGGTGGGCGGCAAGCAACGTCCAATTTGACACCAAAGGGAGTGGCGCCCATGGAGCAACGACGGCATGGTGCAGGTGGCATGGTGTGGACGCACACATGGGGTAAGGTGGCAAGGGCTGGCATGGTAGGTGGCACGCGTGGATGAGCAGTAGTGGCGTGCACTAATGCGGGAAGGCAAGGCGTGGTATGTAGGCATACGGGCGCTGGTGCCAGGCATGTGCGACAAGAGTGACAGCATGGGCAAGCGCTAGGCAAATGGATGGTGCGCACGGCTGAGGCAGTAGACGGGTGCTGCAAGAGATGCATGCAAGGCAGGGCGCGCGGCTTGGGACTGTTGTGAGGTGCGTAGGGGTGCTGGCGAGCGACATGGGGGGACCAATGGCAGGGGCCTATGCAATATGGCTATGTGCACAGTGTGGTTGTGTGGGGCTTGTGGGCGCACGTGCGAAGGCTGTATACATGCACGATAGGGACTTTGGCATGTAATGGTGTTGTCCTCGTATCATTACTTAGTTCAAATAAGTTGTTGCCAAACATAAGAATCAAATTTAAGACTCCCAACCAAAGAAAAAATTTAAATCACCTCAGTTGTAAGTCACAATTTAAAAGTTTAACTAGTATTACTTGGAAGCTCTAAGCTTTACCGGTAAATATAAATTTCAAACTAAATATATTTACTTTTACTAACAATTTTTCTTTTCCCATTAGGAAAACAATCAAAGTAGGAAAATGTGCCAGAAATTCAAATTTTATGTAGCTCGAGTGGCATCTCTTTCCATTTAATGAAGTTATTTTTATCTCAAAAAAAGAAAAGAAAAATGTAAGGAAAAATAATGAACAAGAGTCGAAACCGATAGGTGCTTCAACCATTTGAGTTATACTCGGTTTGGCAACCTTGTTACATCTTTAAAGCTAAATGTTTGGCTTTTATAATTCTCGATTTATGGTAGGTGCTAAATGTTTGACTTTTATAATTCTCGATTTATGTGTAAGGACATTTGTCGATGTGTTTAAGCCAACAAGCAATACCAATGGACAAAAATGTTGTCGCATCTATTGTTTTGAATGTCATTAATTCAATTACATGACGTAATTGTTTCAAGGAAAAAAAATACATGAGGTAAATCTATAGTCACTGCTTTTTAATAGTACATGAATCAATATCGACGTTTTGATAGTAATGCACAACCTAAAATGAATAAAAAGTTTTCTTTTCTTGTACAACAAGTGGAGGTGGGGAATTCGAACTCATGACTTTTTAGTCAGAGACATATACTAATTACCGCTCAGCAAAACTCGTATTGACTAAAATGAATAAAAGTTGAAAATATATTAACTAAAATTAACATTTTAAAAAGTACAATGATGAAAATAAACTAAAATCGAAAGTATAGTGACAAAATAGTATTTATATCTATTTGCTAGATCATTTTTCCTTAGGTGCCTTAACCTATTGACGTATGTGTTAAAATGGGCATACATTTTACACCTAAAGCCATTTATCGTCATTGAAAAGTACATTAAATTAAAACCAATTAAGTCCCCCACAAATTATAATGCATGTGTTGAGCACATCTTATTGACAGGGACATATTTGTCACTAAAAAAAGATTGGTTGATGATTGGTCAATTATCTTGATAATTCATTTTATCCAAAATAATTATAGGTTTTATCTACACAGATATTTCTCCTCCTCTTCCGTCGCCTTTTCTCGCCAGCCAAAAAACGATCGATTCTGGAAATTTTCTTGTTCGCTCTTCAGAAAAAATGGGGCTTTCGATATTGGGCTTCGTCTAATTCTTGAACTATTTGTAGTGCCTACTTCCATGGCTCTTCTCGCGCATGCGCCAGAATTTTCCATCGTCTCGAAGATTATCAGCGACCCCAATTCTAGAAATGTGAAAAGCTTCAGAGTTTCATCGAAATTGGGGATGATTGGCGCTAAGGCTGGGATTAATGTCGGTTCGGAAGTAAAACCTTGTGAAATTGGGGTATCGAAATGGGATCAGTATATAAGGCAGCACGGACAGTTTGCGACTCCGTTGAAAGGAGGTTCCAAGCTGAGCAAAGAGGAGGAAGAAAAGCAGAATTACTATGTGAACATGGGCTATGCCATACGAACGCTGAGGGAAGAGTTTCCGGAACTTTTCTACAGGGAGCTCAGCTTTGATATTTACAGGTATTTGGAATATCCCTTTCGTTTTATTGATTGTTGTGAAGTTTTTTCTTCCGTTTCTCTTGTATTGTCGATGTTAGATTAGAATAGAAGCCTAGGAGATTTGGTGTTATAATTTGTATGTTGTAATTGTTGGTGGTGGTAGGTTTCATTGAAGATTTCAGTTAGATCATGTGAGAAGGCAAGGGGGAAAAATCCATAATGAGAAATGATCAGTTTTCTCCATTTTTACCCCATTTCACAAACATCAGGACCTGTGTGGGAATTGAATTGGAAAGGATGATCCTGAGACTAGACCCAGTCGAAATTGAATTTAATTTAATTGGAAATGAGTTGGGAAGTTGTCGAAATTGTTGCAAGTTTAAGCATGAGTTTATGGTTGACTTGATTAGCAACTCACCAGCTACCAACTGTTTTTCTTGCGGAAATAGCATTTTGACTGGTCGAAGTATTTCCTAAGGTGTTACAAATCCCTTTTAAACAAAAATATTTTTAGAAAACGAAGTGAATAATGAATTATATATATATATATATATATATATATATATTTGTTACAAAGAGGATTTCTGATTAAAGGAGAAGACTTGTGAAAACTGTGAGCTTGGACAACAGTGGGGCAAAGGCAAAATTAGAGGTTCTTTGGGAACGAAAAATTTTGGTTGGAAACTTATCACACATGGATGAAATACTCCAGCTTGGTTGGTTCTAGGGTGAGAACTGAGTTGCAATAAGGTCTGTCTTTTGTGAAAGTTGTGAGGTCGAAATAGGGGTAGGCTTTAAAGGTAGACCATTTTAATAGGATGGAAAAAAAAAAAACCTTCTACAAGAGAATAAAGTGGATAATGGAAGTCAATTATCCATGTGTGGACTTTTGGTAGTTCCCTTCCCTCTTATGGTAGTTAGACAAGAATTAGGTACTTGTCGATTAACCTATGCCTATCAAAGCTATTTTT